TTAACATCTGTAGTGATTCACTTAACAACTGTGGTAAGAAAGAACATAAAATGGAGGTCATTTTAGGATTCAGCGCACCAAAAAACATAAAGATTACGTGGAATAACCAAAACAGCTCTCGAATTTTTTTTTGCAGACCTGTGAATTGAGCCCAAAATTTCTATTGCTCAGGAACACAAAAAATTCTATTGCTCAGAAACACAAAAAGTGATTTTTGCCCCATTTTATGTTCTTTCTTACCACAGTTGTTAAGTGAATCACTACAGATGTTAACTTAGTAACAGGTTTGTTATGTTAATCTGGCTTCCTCACTGACTTTGCTTGTCTGAAGATTGCAAAAGATGATCTTGGGACACTGCAACCATAATAAACACAAGCCAGCAGTCTTTGTGTTTCCCTGAATATAAGACAGGATCTTATTTTCTTTTGACCCCTGAAATAAGCGCTTGGCCTTATTTTCAGGGAGGTCTTATTATTTTTGACGTGCAGGAGGAGGTGAGCGTGGTCACCTCATGGCTGCTGCCGTGTTGCAATATTTTCAGGGAGGGCTTATTTTCAGGGGAGGACTTATTTTAGTGTATGTGCTCAAAATCCTGATTGGTCTTATTTTCAGGGAAAGAGGGTACCAAATCTTGATCATGTGACCATGGGGATACTGCAATAGTCCTATGTGTGGAAAAAAAGTCATATGTAACTTTTTTCAGTGACGTTGTAACTTCAAATAGTTGTAAGCCAAGGATTACCTTTATTAAACCAACTGGATTGAATAAGCATCAAAAATTCATCTTGCTTTTAACACTGATGGAGTTTTCCTACAATTTTGTATAATACATTTTAAAAGTCACTGCAAACAGATCAGTTGTAGGGTACCTGTGTTTTCTAACAAAGTCTTTGGTGTGTTGGGTCTGTTAATGATTTCTACAAGCTGGTGCAAAACCATAGCGACGTAAGGCTGCATCTCTATACCTAGAAAAACAACAACAACACACAAGAAATATATTAAAAATCACTTTTCATTTTAGGCACATTAACACAGCTAACAGAATTTGTAAGTGGTTACAAGACCAAAGAAAATTCTACACAATTGAAAATTGAAACTAGCATTAAAAAAAAAGTCAATCTCACCCATCTGAATTGAAATTTCTCCAATTGCCCATGTGGCATTGTTACACACAGAAATGAACTCAGGGTTTAGGTTTGTTCCCAAAATTGGCATGAAATCAGCTGAAAAAACACAAATAAGCCCTGTCATTAAAATTTATCCTTTGCTAGAACATAGCATAAAACTTCAGCATAATATAATTTTAGCAGAAAATTCTTTGACATTTTAATCTCCCCAATATTTATAAAACCATTCCAATAAAAAAGTTCAGATTCCAAATAGGAAAGTCCATTATAAACATATCAATGTATTAATCTTCCTTCCAGAGAAGGGGAATATGGGTACATTTGGGTTTTTTAAAAAATGCAATAGCAGTTTCTGAAGTGGAGCAAGTATAGTATTTATTAGGATCCAGCCAGAAGATAGATGAAAATTCTAAATCTGATCAAAACAGGCATTTACAATCTACCACACAGCAATCCAAAGGAAAAATATATGTATGGAAATGAGAGAACAGGGTAAAAATTGAGATTTAAATATTAGTCACTACTAATGGAAATAAGGCATTTTCTTTAAAATCTAAACAGGAGGAGAAGGCAACACGGGGCTTACAACAGAGAGTCATTTTCTAAAATGGAAAGAAGATATCTTGGAAACTGGGCTGCTTCTTCCATTTGTCCAATAGGCAGGACTAACAAAATTTTGTAACAATACCTAGAGAGACAGAGAACGTTTCTCTGTTGGATAAAGATGTATCGGAAAATGACACCAATATAAAGAAAACCAGTGAAACAAGCCTGCTAGTGATGATGATTTGGTTATTAAGGATTCTTGAGATTGCAAGAAGAGAGAACCAACACTCTTGCCATCACCTGCATCCTTCCTTCCTTTCCTTCCCTTCCTCCCCTTCACAACTGACTGTTTTCTCCTTCCATTTAAAAATCTCAAAATACAATGGAAAAAAAGCTTAATCTCCTCAAGGTCCTTGTTACAAGATGTGCTGCCTGATTTTGACGGTATTGTAATTTGTCTGAAGATGGAGATTTGTCTTTTTGCCAAATGCACTAGACGTGCCCTGTAAACATTTAAGAAATTCTTGGTGTAATTCAAATACCTGTGAATAATCACATCTAATTTGAGGTGGAGCAAGATTTCTGTGAAGGAATTGTCAAGGAAAGCAGATTTTTAAAAATCCTTTCTGCTGTGTGATTCTGAATCAACTGGAGGTGTGATACATGCTTTCAACAAAAAGGCTGGCTGCAGTTACCAAGAAAGGAGGCTCACCAGAGGGAAGAAACACAATTGATGATGCAACTAATACATACAGAAACAAGAAGGAAGAATTGCAGAGCACACTAGTTGGTAAAAAAAAAAGAGCAACAGAGAAAAGAAGCTATGATGAAACAGAGAAGCATGTCTATAGTAAATGTGGCTTTCCAAGAAGGCTTGGCAAAGAATTATTTTTGTCTCTTCCTCACTTCTCCTCTTAGGAAAGACTAGAAACTGGGGGAGGGGGGGGAGGATTAAAGCAAAGCTATTTAGAGGATTTAACATAACAAAGTTCAGTGATCAGGTCTCAAAACTGTGTAGATAAGGAATGGGCCAAGTGAAACAGTTATGTGATTACTGTAAAGAAAACATTAAAATAAACAAGATTGTATGTTATTTAATTAAGATATATTCACACCCATTAAAAAGATAACAGGACAGTAAACTGTATTATAAGTACTAATTATTTATTTTGTTTTGGGCAATAAACAACGCTACAGATGGAAGAAGTACAAGTGTTTATGTTTGGATTTATTCTAATTGTTTTCTCAGTCTTCAGCAGTCCTGGGCATAGGAACATGGCAGAAATTTAACTGGAAGGAGGAGTTGGTTCTATCTCATTTATCAACTGTTGCCATCTCTTACTAATACCTACTAGAACAAGTGAGAGAAGCAACTCTGCTTTTAGTACACCTCCCTCCACTGAAGAAAAAATTAACTATTGATTTAATGATTTTGATTTTAATAGCATTTATAGGCCGCCCTTTTCCCTGAGGGGACTCAGGGCGGCTTACAATAATAAAGGAAGGGGAGTGAAGACAAAACATAAAAAGAAATGTGCAATAACTAAAAAATACTAAAAACACAACATTCTCTCAGCATTCGGGAGGGGCGGAAGAGTTTATCCCCAGGCCTGACGGGCTAGCCAGATCTTGAGGGCTGTACGGAAGGCCTGGACTGTGGTCAGGGTACGAATCTCCACGGGGAGATTGTTCCATAGCGTCGGAGCAGCAACTGAGAAGGCTCTCCTCCGGGTAGTCGCCAGTCGGCACTGACTGGCGGATGGAATACGGAGGAGGCCCGCTCTATGCGATCTGATGGGACGCAGGGAGGTTATTGAACTAAATGACGTGAAGTTCTCAGTTAAATTATCTAACACAGTGGTTCTCAACCTTCCAATGCCCTTTAGTACAGTTCCTCATGTTGTTGTGACCCCCAACCATAAAATTATTTTTGTTGCTACTTCATAACTGTAATTTTGCTACTGTTATGAATTGTAATGTAAATATCTGATATGAAGGATGTATTTTCATTATTACAAATTGAACATAATTAAAGCATAGTGATTGATCACAAAAACAATATGTAATTATATATTGTGAAATGGTTTGCTAATGAAAATAATATATATAATATAATCTCTAACCTTGTTACAAAAAGTCCATGAAACATTTCAGTTGGTAACAAAATAAAAATAAAACAGAGAAGACAGACAGTAAAAAATGGGTCAAAGAGAAATACAGTACTAGGTTGGATATCCCCTCCTATTTTTCATCTTGTCCTACTGGTTCTTTATGATTTATAAATTGTTGATTGTAATTATTATTATGACCTACGACCTATTACTTGCTGTTTATATGTATAGTGAGTTGGTGCACTGGGGACAAATTCCTTGTGTGTCTTATCACACCAAAAAACATTTCTATTTCTATTTCATTCTATTCCTATTTCATTCTATTCTATTCTATTCCATCATATTCCTATTTCATTCCTATTCCATTCCATTTTCCTGTTCCATTCCATTCTACTCTAAGCACTGAAACTTAAAACTAAAAAGATGTAGTGCTTTATTTTTTTTCAAGGTGGCTGCTGAAGATGTTTTGTGACAGCTACCTTTTTCCCCTCCACCCCTAAACTCCTGGAATCCTCTTGATCCCACATTTTCCAACCACCCATTCATTCATAAATATTACGGGAAGGAAACGAAGGCGGGTCTCCTTGTGAATGAACAGAGGTTTTTACAGAAAACCCAAACATCTGTAAGCCGCCCGGAGTCCTACGGGATTGGGCGGCATATAAATGTTATTAAATTCTAAATTCTAAATCTGGAGCCAACTGCTGCAGAGTGCCCATGTGAACTTCCGAGTCTCTGAGAAGGAGGCGGCTACGGACTGAAGGCACATCATTGCCACCCTTCCCGCCACGGTTCTCGGCTCCTTCTTCCCAGTGTCCCCTCCCCGCTGGGAGACCGAGCTTGGCCCGGCCACCCCTCAGGGTGCTGCCTCGCTGGCGCTCAGGCGCTCCATTCTCCCCCCTCCCCTCGTCAAGCGCAGCCATCTGATCCACCCGCTGGTGCCTCTCGTGTCGCAAATGGCTGGGCACCAGCTGTCCTCACACCACTGCTCTTGTCAGATAGCCCCCCCTTTCGCAAGGTAGCGCCTGCCGCCGCCGCTCCCCTGGCTCCAAACACTGGCATGCAGGTGGTTCCTAAGACCATTGAAAATATGTGTTTTCCAATGGTCTTAGGCGACCCCTGTGAAAGGGGTTGCAACCCACAAGTTGAGAACCGCTGACCTAACATGTGACAATTCACATAGCCCATGCTTTACTCTTCTACTGCCAAGAAAGAACTGTCAAGCAAAATTATACATCCATTTCTATGAGAAATGTCTCTGAACACATAACCCATATATAGTTGTAAGAGAAAACTCGTAGACCCTTAAAAACTATTTATAAACTTGCATGTAATCCTTGAAAACTGTCTGTAATCTTCCTTGTAATCAGTACTGTCACCTGCACTGATCAGATCCAAGTCATAAGAGATTCTGATTAACATACAACCATACAAAATAACTCCATGCCTTTACTGAACACACTGAGCTAATATTCATTGTTTACATGGAAAAAAAGATGTGAATTTCCTATTAAATATCTTGAGTTGTATGTACAAGTCAATCAGATGATAATCCAGGCCTCCTCATTAAAATGCACACATACTGAATTCCATTACTGGAACTTGCTCTTCACAACACATTTTTGTAAGCGAATTCAGGCCAGTAAGAGAGAACTCTGTGGTGTCAAAATATACAACACTATGAGAGATTCCTACCCCAAATCCCAGGATTATAACAAAGGACCAGCAGACCAATTTTGTATTGTCAGATGTCAGGCTTAATGTCAACTGTTCATAAATACTAGGGAAACACTGAATAAAAGTTGTGTGACTGGGAGGATATCCAGGAGGAAAGAATATTCTCTAGAAAACTGTCACTTACAGTATCTCAACCAATTTATACCTGGATGATCTAATAGGCTACTGGAACAATACTATGTGAATAGATGAGATAGATAAATATTCAAAATGGAATATTTGGACATGAATGGTGAAATTGTGTCTGGAGAAAATGAAACAGTGTTACACTGAAAAGGTCTCATCTCAATCACATCATAGTATGCTAGAAATGTCATGGTTTGGGGTTGCTTTGTAGACTCATGATCCAGATGGCTCATGAGCATAGAAGGAACAATGGATTCTGGATTGTACCAACAAATACTATGAGAGCACATCAGGATATGTCTATGAATTTAAGTTTAAACGAATGGGAGTGATACAATAAAAGAGTGATTCTATATACAAAAATAAATTAGAATATAAAGGCAGAAGAAAAATTACATTTGGAAATATCCAAATAAATGCATCAACCACATCCCAATTAAAAACATTATAGCAAATTCAAAAGCAAGCAGTTCATACAAGGCTGGCTTTAGACTTGGGCTGAGGGTGCACTGTCCTAGGTGTCAAAACTTAAGGCACGTATACTGAGCTAGTATATGTAGTTAAGGTGCTAGTCTAGAAATCAGGAGACTGTGAGTTCTACTCCCACTTTAGCATGAAAGTCAGCAGAGTAATTTTGCAGCAGTTACTCTCTTTCAGCTCGACTCATGTCACAGGGTTGTTTTTTGGGAAAATAGGAGGAGGAAGGAATATTACCACCTTGTTCACCATTTGTATTATTTATAAGAAAAACAAATAAAGGTAGGAAATAAATACATCCTTGAATTAGCTCTGAATTTATGCAAGACAACCTAAAAAAGCAATGAGTGGAACTAGTTTTTAAAAGAAAAATGGGGCAAAATACCATGAGACCAATGCGTGAGAGTACTCAACTGGTAATGTATAGAAAACATTTGGCTGAATTCACTGCTGCTAAAGGAGGCAATCCGGTTAATAAACTAAAACTTCATAAAGATTTTCCAACAAAGATAGTGAGTATTACATATTCAATACAGACATATTTATAGCACCTTGTATGTTGTTTGTTTTATGAGAATTTATTTATTTATTTTTTAGCAGAATGCAGATGAAACTCAGATCACATTGTAAGCCACAGTACTGCAGGATGGACAGTTAACAATATTATATGGATTAGGGCACGGCTGTCAAACTCCCAGCCCATGGGCTGGATGTGTTATGTGCTGGCCACGCCCACACCTGGTTTAGCGAAGGGGGGAAAAGTCCCAATACATCACATGATGCTGCTGTGATGCCGCAAGTTTGACACCTCTGGATTAGGGGATAGGAAAATTCTACAGTGAAGAAAATATGCATCAGTTTTTAAACTAGATTTTTTTTAAAGTCAAGGCAGAAAGACGGTGAAGCAAACAAATAGGAACCAAGAACCACTTTCCTATCATTCTAGATAAGAAATTATTAATTGAAATAATCCACAAAATATTTCTCCCCAACATGACATATTGGTTATAAAAGCACTATAAACAGATCCAAGCCATAAATGTATACATATATTTGTGGCAATTTTCTATTACTTCAGCCATCATTATCAACTTACAGTATAAAAGACTTTTAATATCAAATTAAAAAACACAAGGAGTATGAGTTGGCAGTTCAATCTATACATGATAACAGATTGCAGTATTAAGTTACCTACCAATGCAGGGCTTCACATGCTGAAAACATGCCTTGGTCAAATCCCCTAGCAACGCAAAAGAACTCTGTCGTACCTCAGGCATTTTATCCTAAGAGAAAAGAAAGAAGCCTTTGTTTTTATTTAGAAAATAAAAACAGCACCAAGACAAGAGAATGAGATTATTTATCTCACCTGCATACACTGGTACATCAGTGTCAGGATATTGCTCCGAGCCACTAATTGTTCAATGTTGCCTCCAAGTCCTTCAGCTAAACCACTTAGTAAATCAAGAGCCACAATCATGAAGTCTTTATCTGGAGCTTCATACTGATCTGGTTGAGCATTATGCAACTAAAAAAAAAAAGAAAACAATCATTGTTTAAAAGTTTTAAGTATGCAATATTACAATACATAATTTTCATTACTTTTTACTCCCCAAACCAGCAAATTAATCAAAGAATTTTATAATCAATCAGGGAGTTTAAATTCCACTGACACTACATTTTCTAATGCTATGAAAACTGGTAACGGAAAATACCATGGCTTGTGCAAGAGTCTTTTGTACCAGATTCACACAGCGCTGGTAGACAGGTTCACAGTATGGAAGGAAGCCAGATTGCAAGGCAGTGGCAACCGAAGACAGGCACTGAAATACAGGAGAGACATTAAGGACCATGTATACCAATTACATAGTATGTCAAAGATATTTACTATCTTAGTTCTGTTTAAAAGGGAAACTATTGAAAGATAAAATAAACTCATGTATTCACAGATTAAGAAACGGTACAGGGACACAATTATAATGCTTAAACGCACAAGACCAGAGAAACAGTCCATTAAATCTTTGCAGTTTAATCCTACAATTCCTTCAGAAACACATTCTTACAAGTTCACAGAAAGCTAATTCCTAGAAAATCCTCAGAACTGCCACATTATGGTGCAATCATATCAGGTCTTGTCCAAAGATCTTCACGAAGCTAATGGGCTTAGCCCTAATTATATGGATGCAGAATTAGGATACCTCAATTCCCCTGTTAGAAGCTGGCATCATAAGGAAGAAAATATAAACAGTGATGATTTACAAAGGTCAGAGAACTATTTATAACAACAGCATGAATTACCTCTAATAAAGGGAAAAGATCTTTATCTTCATCCTTTAACATGTTCCATTTTTGGATTAATGGAGGCATAAGCATTTGGATGTATTCCTGTAGACAATCAAAATTTCACAGAATTTATGCTCTACAAAACTTTATTTAGGTTTTTTTTTGGCATTTATGTAGATTCCCTTGAATTGACAGCAGTTGAGTGCCCACTCCCCAACAACATTGTTAGCAATTTAGACTCTAGAATTCTTCTCCCACTCCCACTCCCAAATGAACATATAGTTGTCACTTGTTGGCCCTGGGCAGGAAAGATATGTTTACAAAATGGTCCTATCTATTCCAGGAATGACTGGAACAGGAATCACCAAGAATCACTGGTTCCTGCCTTGTGCTTTCTTCCTTGTAGTTATGACAAAATAATGGAGATACTATCATTGAAGCATTTTAACAATTATAAGGAAAATATCTAGGCATACTTTTTAAAGCTTTATTTAGGTATGTAGCATTTTATTCATGAACTTTTAAGTCAGATTTTATAATGTTTCTTAAGAGTCTAATTTAAAGAAAAAATGGAATATTCATAAATAAAGCAGTGAATAACTTGGGCAACAAATCTAAAAAAACTTATCTAGAATGGATGCTTGATAAAGAAATGAATAAAAAGTCAAGAATTTGACTTTTTGTAGAATTGAGAGATGCAATTTATTTATTTATATCATTTATAGGGTGACCATCTTACCTCAAGGTAATTATGGGTGATACTTACTGGCTTGTTTAGATGATGGCCTACAGAATCTGCTAAAGTTCCTATGGCATCATAAAGAATGAGCAGATTTTTATGTTGGTATTTACTAAACGCAAATACCAAAGTATCAAGTATATAAGCAAGATAAGGAACAAGCTCTGTACAAGCCTCCTCTTCTAGAGTAGCAAAGGCACTAAAAGGCAAAAGAAAACATTAGTCTACAGAATGAAGGAATGTACTTTTTCCTCTAAATAAACGCTTTTAAAAAATCTATTAACAGTATATAGGGAATTCCAAGTTTTATATATGTAACACAAACAAATTTATAATTTCTTTAGAAAACAAATACAACATAACTGTTAAAAGCAAATATAATTACAAGAGAATGGCTAAAAATGGTCTCAAATGGCTTTTCCAGTCAACTAGAAAGGAGCTACTCAACAAAAATAAATGAAACAATACTGTAGACTGCAATATGTACCTTGGGAGCCATGGCTAGCATTTCTATATTGTGACCTACCTGCAGGCAGCTTCTTGTACTCTCTTGTTACTATCAAGGATACGCTTTAGCAACTCAGTCATTAATGGCTTCAAGTATGTGTCTGGGGGTTGACTGACTACCCAATGTGCATAGCGACTAAGAGTCCAGCAAGTAATGGAGCGCACAAGAGCCTTTTTATCAGAGAGGCACTGAATAAGGTGAGGAATTAGCTCGGGAAGATATGGAATCATACCCTGCATACAACCTATAGCAATACGAAATGAAATAAGAAAGAAATAAGAAATAGTTTAACAATCTGGTAATCATACAGTTGCTATTACTACTAATATTAAAGGTAGTCCTTGATATACCAACTTAGTAAAGTTGCTGCACATCTCACTGCAAGGCAATTCTAGGCAGCTTATATTAAAATATATAATAAAATGTACTGCACAATGTTGTACTAAACATTGCCAAATGTATTATTAAACCAAAACAGACTAGTAAAATAACAAGTTTGTATATTATTAAGTAATATTTTCATATTTTACTTTTAATTTCATGCATAACCAATTTCATATATTGCCATAATATTCAAATGTACCAAGTGACCTTTAATGCTGGAAATACAGTACAACTATTTTTGACAAATAGACCTAAGCCCCTACTGTAATATCAGATGAATCACATGCCTTTCTAGTTGTGGTTATAGATTTTGTTACAGAATTTTCTAGACAATTTGAAAAATAAAGTCTATCACAGCCATAATTTTTATAGAAAAAATATAGAGAACTGTTGGAATGGAGGGAGGGGCAAAGATACACAGCCAAGCAGTTATTAAGCAAATACTGATTCCCCTATTGAGTTTGCTTGTCAGAACCCTACTGGAAAGGTTGCAAATGGTAATCACATGATTACAAGATACTGCAACTGTTGTATATACATGTCTATTGCCCAGAGCCTGAATTCTGATCATGTAACTATGGGGATACTGCAATGGACATAAGCGCAAGAACCAGATGTATGTAACTTTTTTTCAGTGCCATTTTAACTTCAAATGCTTGCTAAACAAATGGTTGCAAGGACTACCAGCTTTTAATCCCTTTCTCTCCGATGAATGTAAACATAAACATTAATTCTCTTTTTGCTAATTATCCCAACACCAAAATAATCATTCCAAAGGACAATAACAATTTGGGTTCAAGGTCAGACATTCTTATACCCAATGTGTCTTCCATTTTTCTGAAATGGCAGACAACCAGTTCCACTATGAAATCAAAAATCAACAGATAAAGATGACAAATTTAATACGATTTAATACGATTCTGAACAGAACAAGATACAATTCTTTGTAGTAACTGAAGCCTATAGTAATTCACGTAATAGAAATGCAGAAAGTCCATATTTAAAAATTTGTTTCAAAATTTCAATTGAACCAGATCAAATGCCTCTTCGGCATCCAACAATCCTATCAATGCTGATTTAAGTTATTCTGAATGTATATCCAGAATGTCCGTTAGTAATCTAAATAGAGTTGGCTAGGGAATAAAATTAATTGTCTGTAAGGGCCACTGTTCACATTTCTGCATCATCAATTTCAAAGAAAATTGATTGTCAATTTGCAGGGTTGCAAACTCTAATCCCAGTTTAAGAAAAAAAACCTAGGAAAGGAGCAATGATAAACCACTTCTGAAAAAAACCTTGCCAAGAAAATTGCAGGGACCTGTTTATGCAGTGTTCGAGAATCAGACATCACTGAACAGAATGAAAAAAAATATTAATCCATATTAATCCATATTCAAACCTTGCCAAGAAAATTGCAGGAACCTGTCCATGCAGTGTCCAAGAACAAACATGACTGAACAAATTGAAAAAATATATTAATCCATAAACATTGTATTTATTAATATCTTCAACCAAGGATCAAGATGCTGAAAAATAACCTAGTTGAAAACAATTCTGATGTGGAATTGGAAAGAAACAAAATTACTTCCCTATTTTTTTTATTTTTTTCCTGCTTCTAGACCTGTGATGGCGAACCTATGGCACCCATGCCAGAGATGGCACGCATAGCCCTTTCTGTGGGCATGCACACTGTTGTGTGCTGCTCTTCTGGTCTTTCCGTGCACTGGAGCGCCAGAAAGCTGAAGACCAGCTGGCCGGTGCGCATGTGCATGCCGGAACACAAAAAACAGCTTGCCAGCGCATGCACGTGCAAGGGGCAACTAGTCTTTAGGGTTTGGGTACTCTGGCGCATGTGCATGCATGTGCATTCATTGCGGTTTGGTCACTTGATGCTGAAAAGATTCGCCATCACTATTCTAGACTTTAGAATGCACACAGTATTTACAGAAATAAAGAAGCGGCGGGGAAGGGAACCAGGCAGGCTGCCTTTACCATTGGGGTGAGGTGGGTGGTTTTGGGCCGTGAGGTGCGCCTCTTACCTTTCCAGGTCTGTCGCGGTCCTCACCATTGTGTCCAGGAAAGCCCTGGTTAAAAAAAAAAAAAAACCCTCTCGCAAGTTCAAGAAGTTTGATTGAACTCGTGAGAAGTTCACTAGTTTTTACTAGTGACTTCCTGAACACAATGGCAAGGAACGCAACGGAGCTGGAAAGGTAAAAGGCGCACCTCGCTTCTCACCTGCTCCAGAAAATAATAAGCCCTTCCCCTATAAAAAGCCCAAGACCATATTTCGTGGGGCAAAAGAAAATAAGACTCTGTAGTATACCACTAGAATAAGTGATCTGATGGCTTCATTTATATGTAATATATAAAATTTAATAAGTTTAGTCACTAAACTGTTATTAAATTTTATATATTACATATAAATGAAGCCATCGCATCACTTATCCTTGCATGTCTCATTCTCATATTTCTTGCAGCAAGAATATGTTGTGTGTGATGCACAATGTTTAGATTTATCAGTTTCTTTCACACAAAGTATAGTAACAAGGTACAACATGAACCTCAAACATCATTTACCTTCAGCAATTGCTCCTAGAACAAGGATGCCTGATTCTTTCACCACCCATTCTGGATGAAAAAGCAATTCTTTTAGAAGGGGCAAAATATGTGGCAGCAGGTCATCACGGAATACATTGGCAAGAACATCAAGGGCAGCAGCTGAACATTTCCCTAAGAAAAGTAACATACATTTTTGTATAGTCTATTATGCTTTCAAAACTTCACTTCATTTTGCAGTATTAGCAAATTTGCTATTTGTTGAAAATTATGAAGAAATTGTAACAAAGAATAAAATACAAAGGACTTAAAATTAAGCTACTATTCTAAACACTGTATGAGGAGGCCTATATGTCTGTGCTGGCAAATCATTCAGAAGGAGCCTGGTAGCCCATTTTCAGACTACCAGATTTTATTAAATGGCAAAAAAAGCACACAAACATATGTTTTTTAAATATTGCAGTTGGGAAAAGTGCTCCAGGTTTTTTTGTTAAGCGAGTTTAAACGCTTATAACTTTGCAATCAATATTTTATTTATTTATCGATCAGTTACCGATCTCACTAACATAAATCTGGGCAGTATATAATGCAACCAACAATTACAACTTTGTAATCCTTTAATATGGGGAAGAGTCGAGGCATTAACTATAAGATAATGGCACCCAAATTTTATGTACAGGGCGGGGCATAACCTTTTCCTAGGGGGTCACAGCAAGATCGACAGCAGTTTACAACTTCCGCGACACCTCATTTTAAAGCCCATAAAAAACTGAATTGAATGAGCTATTAAATGTTAAATTTGCTTTAAGAATGGCTGGAAAATTCGATTCGGAAGAACAAAGGATCATTGACAGAATAAAATGCATTGCCTTTCGAGAGGCTCACGATGCTGGAGCGACGTTTATCAATCGAAAATGGATTGCAAACAAATTGAAACGTCATCCGGATTGGGTTACTGATAATTGGAACAAAACAGCCCAAGAATGTTTCACAAAATTTGGAGAAGGGCGTCCTCTGCAACTGTCCCAAGAAAGCAAAGCCATCATTGCAACTGGCAGTCGCAAACAACGAAAAGGAAACCGAAAAGTGGCCCAAGAAATCCTTCAAATTCGTGGAAAACGAGTTGATCAAAGGACAATCGGCCGATATCGAGAACGAGAAGGTTTGAAGCCATTCCACGTCATTTGCAAACCATTGAAAACTCAAACACACGTTCAAGATCGGCTTTGGTTGTGCGATTGGTTGTCTGAATGGACCGAGGAAGATTTTCTGATGAATTCTTCGTTTATGCCATTCGAAAACCGAATTTCCAGAACGATCGAATTTGGGCTAAAGACGTCGACGACATCGCCAAACATGAACGATATCGACAAATCGTTCGCAATCCGACTTGCATCGGGATTTTCGTCATTTTCACAGCCAAGAAACTGCATTGGGTTTTGAAGGATAAAGGGGAATCCTGGGATGGCAGTTATTTCCGTGAGAAAATTTTATTGGAGAATGTCATTCCATTTCTCAGTGATCCAGACAATGTCTTGGTGGTTGGTGAGGCTGTCTTTCTTCATGACAAAGCTCCTTGCATGCGTGCAAATGCGACTCAGCAATTGTTAAAGGAAAACAATGTCGAATTTTGGGGCAATGACGTCTGGCCGGGAAATTCGCCAGATCTCAATCCGGCAGAGAACATTGGGGCCATAATTAAGGATGAAGTGGAAGCTCTGATGATTCAGGAGCAAGGTCAAAATCGATATTCGGTTGAAACTTTGAGAATGAATTTGGAAACTGTGTTGAAAAATCTGGAAAATCGAACGGAACTGTTTGAAGATTTGTTGTGTTCTTATCCACCTCGTTTGAATGCTGTTCGAAGGGCTAATGGTGGTCATACTGACTATTAAATCGTGTCAATAAACTCAGTTTTTGATGGGCTTTCGAATGGTGTATGAATTATTTGTGTTGTTATTACAAGTGTTGCTGTGACCCCCTAGGAAAAGGTTATGCCCCGCCCTGTACAATGCAACCATATAACAGACCTAACTTCTGAACAATTCTTAAATTAAGCTTAAGGTATATTCATAAGTTTTACATTATTTCATTTGGAAATGTGGCATACTTAAATTCCAGTCAGAAATAGTGTCGTCATCATCAAGCTCATCTTCCTCATCTTCCTCATCTTCAATACCATCTTCTTCATGCTGCTGAGCTACTGTTCGTGAACGGTGAAACCGAGGTCTTATATCTTGTTCACTATCTGGAATTGCTTCATCTTCCTCAACATCTCCCTATTATCAAACCAAAGAGGAAAATATGAAGAGAAAGAGATGTTTCAGCAAAACCCTGGCCCTTTCTATGCTATATCAAACTTTTATACGCTCAATTAAAACACCAAATGTATGTTTAAATTTGCAATGGTGAAGTAGTAGAAAGTAGCAAATAACTTACCAAAATGTTACTAAAAACCACTAATAATTATTAATAATACAATTCTACACTTAAAAGTTATAGGCAAAAATTTGGATAATCTGGTCAGATTATATACTTCTGATAATTTCTAAATGAATCAAAATTGGCACAACCTGTACATAGTATATAATCTTTATTTTGTATTTGTGAAGGTAAACGTTCCCCTCGCACATATGTGCTAGTCGTTCCTGACTCTAGAGGGGGGAGTGCTCATCTCCGTTTGGTTTCAAAGCCAAAGAGCCAGTGCTGTCCGAAGACGTCTCCTCCATGGTCATGTGGCCAGCATGACTAAACGCTGAAGATGCATGGAACGCTGTTATCTTCCCACCAAGGTGGTCCCTATTTTTCTACTTGCATTTTTAAATGCTTTCGAACTGCTAGGTTGACAGAAGCTGGGACAGGTAATGGGAGCTCACTCTGTTACGAAGCACTAGGGATTCAAATCGCTGAATTGCTGACTTTTCTGATCGACAAGCTCAGCGTCTTAGCCACTGAGACACAGCATCCCTGATTTGTATTTGTAAGGAAATGTAAATAAAAAAAAGGTATGCAATCAAATTGATAGATATTGGTTTCACTTTTTATTATATAGAAGTTGTCTCAACTCTGGTTCATTTAGACAATCAACAAATCATGTATTTTGATCAGAAATTATTAGTTCTACGTACAACAGTATCTCTTCAGAAGATATTCGTTTATTGGGTATATAAAGGTGCTAATTTCAAATAAAATGGATATAGCTCTGTATTGAAACATGTCACATTTTTCTTGAAGTATAGAAATCTTTAAAAAATCACTGGTATTAGAGGCAAAGTATAGTTATTCCTACCTTCAGCAGAATGATATCTATTTCTGAATACTTCATACCATTTACAAGGACAGGTATCAACCTACATAGAAAAAAAATTAAATATTTGAATATCAAATCCTAAAGTTGAATAAGCAGGAGTTCACATTCTTTAAAATTTTCAAATACCAATCAAATCCATGCAAATTATTTAAGAGAAAATGCTGAGATAATGTTCGCTCACTTTAATAGTCAAAGATTTGAGCCTAGATAAAAGACATGGATTTATTTTAAATCAAATTAAAATTAGCATGTTTTAAAATCATGAACTATCAAATTTAGAATATTTGAAATGTAAAATATTTCAGGATACTAAAGTGTTTCTTTGATTATATATATGCACAGATATACATACATTTCAGTCAAATGGGCTATATCTAGTCCACAAAAGCAATCACAGTCATTTTGCTGCCTGTTGCAGGCCCCACATTTGTTTCTAATTGGTTGATAGGTGCAAATCAAAGTGATAGCTTTAATTTATATCCATGTAAAGCTTGGCTATCAGTTGTTTTCAGGATAATTTATTTGAAGTGTAATCTAATACACTTCTTGCTGCATAAATTATTAATGAATCCAAAATTTTAGCAAAGTGAGAGTGCAGCAACAGGGATTTCAGAGATGGCCCCCATCTCTTCCCTGGGCCACTTATCAGGTATTTTATCTAATGATTTTCCAATAACTAATAAACATGGAATTGTCCTGGAGAGCTTTCGGGGAAAGAAGGAAATGGATACTTTGGCTTGATTATATTTACTGTTATGTTTGATTGAGAATTTATTTATACTGTTAAACCAGTAGGAATCACACATTTGTTAAATAAATGGTAAAAGAAAATTTGACTCCCTCAAAAATATGGCTTCTTTCCCTGGACAAAAGAAGCAATTATATTCAGTTTATACAACACAGACATTTTTAAAACAAACAAGAGTGAAATGGTCTGCAGTTGTACAGTATGAAAAAGCATGAAGTATTTTCATGGAGAAACAGACATTCCCTTGATTGTGCCACATGAAAGTTCTCACTGCTATTACTAGTTTTTACAACTTTCATAAAAACTATTAGCAAGCAAAAATATGTGTCAAGTTAGTATGTGTCCATGGGTAAATACATAGGTACAATTACCATCTCAATTTAAATATTCCAAATGACTATAGAAGATTCATGAAACAATTTTAAGTTTTTAAAGACATAATGAGATAACCATGCACATACATTTCAAATAAGCCAACATAATATAAAAGGGAAAATAAACTTACTTTGTAAGATGTCGATACAATACATCTTTACAAATTGGCTGTTCAGCCAAAGTCAGCCAGAATTCACAAGCCTCTAAAGCCACATTTTCATCTTGGTCCTGAGTTCTTTGCAGCATGTACTACATGTTATGGTAAGAAAGTAAAAAGAAACAGAAACTGGGTACATTTGAAAATACAATGTAATTAAATTCTTTTATAACATTCTATTATCATATGGATAATTTGAAAAATGGGTTTTTAATATATGAATAATTATAGATCAGATATTTTTCTCTGTATTGCGGCTGCTAAAAATACAACTCTCCCTTTGCCTTATGCAAATTTGTCCCAGTAGAATAATATTTTGGCATTCAATTTCCAATTCCTCAATACTTAATAAAACATTTTTTTCCAGAATACTGCCAATTCTCCTAGAAGCAGCAATCAGTATTGTTTGTTTTCTTAGACTCCTCCATTTTATTACTGAATAATCAAATACCACATGTGCCCTTTACTATATTGGTAATTTTAAAATATTTATTATATTACAAACTGATTTTCTTGATGCCTGCTATTATTATATTATGACGTTTGAAAAGTGGAATGTTTTGTGATGGTTCTCATATAGGTCAGTATTTGTTTCCTTAGTTTTTCACTTTTTAAACTTAAGTAGAGTTTCTCCAATTTCCAACTAAGAATAGTTTTTAAATTTTGCAAGAAAAATTGTGTTTTGTCACAAACATTGTTTTCATGCACATTTTATATAAAACTACAAAGCATGTCCATTTGTTGCAAATTTGTTCTCTTTTCCAATTTCTTTTTGGGGGTTTGTTTTGTTTTTTGAAGTCTTTACATTTTTTTTTCTTTTGTGTGTGCATGTGATTTCAGATTGCTGACACAAAAATCCTTTTTTTCCACAAAATACAGCAAATTAGGTTTTACATGCACTTTTTTTTCCAGATATCATACTTAGGGTACTTCCAAGAGTAAATAATATTTATTTAACTGACAGTATAAACCTGATGCTGTATCTTTAACAGGAAACTCATTTTTACACAATAAATTTCCTTCTTTCTTTAAATTTGTTTGCTGTTCATCTCGCTGGGAGTGGGAGTAGGATTAAAATGTATTGCTAAGGTGTACAAAATTATCTGCAAATATTTGGAACAAATTATATAAATACTGCATTTTAAGCAAATATCGGTTACGGATTTTAAAGAATATGGCATATAGTTCTAATGAATTTAAGATGAATTTTAGTTAACAAAATATATTTATTGGACATCTCAGAGAAAGAGCGTTGGTACCTACCTGATACTCTTCTTCTAATAGGGTGGAGATAGCATCCATGCATGGGTTGACACTGCCCGTGCTGATTCAACTGAGTCTGAATATTAATTAGCCAATGTACTACATAACCCGCCCCTGTGAGTGTTACCACCCAGTTTCCGGCAAAGGAAATGAAGACACAGACTCCACATGTTATCCCCCAAAAAGCCAATCTTTAGTGACACAGGTAAACAGAACAAAACCAAATGCATTCATCAACTACGAAAATACACCTACGGCAGGTAAAAGAGGTAGCCTCCAAAAAAGGTAAGGGATGGGGCTGGATGCTATTTCCACCCTATTAGAAGAGGTGTATCAGGTAGGTACCAATGCTCTTTCTCAATAAGGGTGGAAATAGCATCCATGCATGTGACATAGCGCCTCCAACATCTAATCTCAGACGTCCGCGCAATGTAAATCTTCAGTGCCTTACGGACATCAAGATTGTGCCATTGCTTCTCAAGCTGGTGAGTTGGGTGCGGCAGAAATTAGGGAGCACCACCTTCTATGACCTATGGAACCATGATCCCAGCTTCGGCACAAAGGAAGGGTCCATCCTACGGACCACCCTATTACTATGGAACCTGCATAGGTCCTCCCTAACAGAGAGAGCGTGCAGTTCCAAAATTCTCCTGGCGGAAGTTATCGCCACCAGGAAGGCAACTTTCCAGGTAAGTAGCTCCATGGAAATCTCTCTCAAGGGTTTGAATGGTGGCTTGGTAAGAGCCCCAAGGACCCTGGCCAGATACCAAGTTGGGTAACGGTGTACCGCTGGCGGACAAAGGTTGGTAGCACCTCGTAAAAACCTTTTCACCCTGGGGTCCTGCCCAAGGCCTCTACCTGCCTCTTGATGGTGTTGGGAGACAACCCCTTATCATCAAGGCCGTCCTGTAAAAATTCCAGGATTTAAGGGATTAATCTGTTTAGGCAGCCACCATTTATAGAAGATTCTCCAGGTGGCATCGTAAATGCGCATCATCAAGGGTCTCCTGGAGGCCTGTATAGTATCAATAACTCTGGCTGAGAACTGATCCCCCCCTTAGCATGAGCCGCTCAACCGCCACGTGGCCAGCTGGAGCCATTGTGGCTCCGGGTGTTGTAGAGCTCCCTGGTGGAGGACAATCTTGTCCTCTGGAATCCTCCAGGGCCTCTTCACTGACATCTGGAGGTTGGCAAACCAAGGACGCCTCAGCCAGTGTGAGGCCAAGAGTATGACCTCTGCTCTGTCCTCGATGATCCTGTGGACAACCCTGGGGAGGAGAGGCACTAGGGGGAAAGCATAGAGGAGACCTCTGGGCCACGGGCAGCAAAGAGCATCCATTCCCTCCGCTCCTGGTGTGCGGAATCTCGTGAAAAATCTGGGGAGTTGAGCATAGCAGGGGCTGGGGAACAGATCCGCAATCGGGCCTCTGAACTGGTGTGTGATCTCCTGAAAGAGAGAAGGATGCAATTGCCATTCGGTCTGGTATACTGTAGCTCTACTTAGCCAGTCAGCCCGCACATTAGCCTCCCCTAAAATGTGCTCAGCCACGAGGGAAAGATTATTCTCTGCCCACATCCCCACGACGTTAGCCTCTAGCATGAGATCACTCTATCTGGTTCCCCCTTGCCTGTTGATGTGGGCCTTGGCCGTGATGTTGTCTGTGAGGACCAGCATGTGCCGGCCCTCGATATACCAATGAAATTCCAATAGAGCCAATCTAATGGCCCTGAGCTCTAGCCAGTTAATACTCCTGCTTGCCTCTTCCTGCGTCCACCGACCCTGGGCCATATGTGCATTCATGTGTGCCCCCCAGCCGTATAGAGTGGCATCAGTGGTGATGGTGATTCAGTGAAATGACATCCTTTGTCTATGGCCGGGGTGTGCCACCAATTAAGGGATTGCCGGACCTCCTTGATGAGGTGTACCCATCTCAACGACGTGTTGACTCTCTTCTTCTGGAAAGGTAGCAAGAACCATTGGAGGTCCCTCGTGTGTAGCCTAGCCCAGGGTACTATGGAAATGGTTGAGATCATCTTCCCAAGTTTAGATAAGGTCGCCAGCGAAACTTCCCGACTGCTGAACACCTCCGTTACCAGTTGTCTAAGGCTGGTAGTCTGCTCCTCAGATAGGAAGACCTGTCCAGCCCTGGAATCTATCCAAGCCCCAAGATGGAGAATCCTGGTGGTAGGTGTGAAATGGCTCTTAGCCTCGTTAATGGAAAACCAATGGGCCCACAACACCTGTGTTGTGATCTGGAGGTCTGCCCTGTCCCTGTCCGGGGAAGTGGACTGTACCAATATGTCATCAAGGTATAGTTGAACTCTGACAGGCACTGTGCATGAGCCGCCAAGGCGGCCAAAACCTTAGTAAAGACACGGGGAGCAGAAGAAAGGCCAAAAGACAAAGCCATGTATTGGTAATGATAAGAACCATAACAAAAACATAGAAACTGGCGATGCTACTGTAGGATGGATATGTTTAAGTACACTTCCGTGAGGTCAATGGAAATAAGTAATCATCCTCCCTCACGCCCTCCAAGATGGTCTGCAAGGAGTGCAACTTAAAACGTTTATATGCAATAAACCTATTCAACTGCTTCAAGGATGGCCCTCCACCCTTCAGAAGCCTTGGGAATGACAAATAACAAGGAATAAAACCCGTGGTTGGTCTAGTCGTTGGGTACCCTCTGGATGGCTTCAATAGCCTCCGCCATCAATAACCGCCTTTGGAGGTTAGCAGAAATATGGCACTGGAGGAAGGAACCGGGAGGGTGGGAGACAAATTCCAGGGTCAGACAGAACCTGACCATGGCTCTAACCCAGACATCAGAGGTTGTGGCCTCCGACTGGTCGGCAAAGTGCCGTAGCCGCCCCACAATGGAAGCCCGATCCTGTGACTGGTTAGGATTTGCGGTAGTATTGGTTACTGCCTCCACGAAAGGGACATTTGGACTGTCATCCCGCCCCCGTTGCTGCCGATACTGCTGTTGTCTAGGGCGCTGGGAAAAACCACCCTATTGGCAGAACCCTGATGGGGAATAAGCATTATTTCTAAAGGACCCCCTGTACTCCTGTCTGAAGGATTGTCTCTTGGGGTATGGGGAAGCTCGGGCGAACCCTTTCTTAGGGTTAGAGGGCAGGATCTTATGCTTGTCCTTGCCCTCGATCAATAGGGGTGTCAAAGAATCCCCGAAGAGGGTCCCCTCTTGGTATGGCTCCAACACCAGGCGCCACTTGTGTCTCAAGTCAGATTGCCATTGTCGGAGCCACAGGAGTCTGCGGGAGGCCACCGATGAGGTCATGGCCCTGGAAGCGAACCGGGTTGCGTTCAGCGTTGCATCAGCTGAAAACTGCACTGCGGCGATCATTTTATTAAGGTCCTGGTGGGCCCTAGAATCCCCTGTGGGGATGCGTTCCTGCAGTTGCTGCAGCCAGAAAAGACTCGAACGCGAGAAAAAGGAAGCTGCTGTTGAGGCCCGCATAGCACACATTGATACCTGATGCCCCCGCTGTAGGACCTGATCGGTGTGCCTATCCTTGGGTTTGAGGATGTCTTCCTGGGTGCCCGGGAGCATGGTGTTGGTATGGAGCACTGCTACAGGCACGCTGATGGTCGGCCAGATGAGGTTCTTGTCCAGTTGTTCCACAACATTGTAGAACTGTTTGTCATTGGCCAAGGGCGTTGGGCCTGACGTTGGCATGGTCCATTGGCATCTGACCATGTCAACGAAGAGCTGAAGAATGGGTATGATGTCCGCCTCCACCTTGTGCTCCTTGAACAGCGCGCTCACCAATGGACTCTGTATCAGGGCTGCCAGGGTTGCGGCCTGGCTTTCGAGGTCTGAGGAGGCCTTGGCCTTAGCCAACAGTGGTTTGAACAATGCTGAAGGGAAGAGACCCACACAGGCGGGCTTGTCTGGTGCAACATCTTCCTCCTCAGAGATGTCGGCATCCCTGATCTCCCTTCTTCTGAGGCGAGGCAAGGGCTATGCTCCAGTTCAGCCGGAGACAGGTGATCCATCAGTTCTGGGGCCGACCCTGGTCGTGGAGTGGAACGAGAGACCCCTGCTGTCACCCCTTGGCTCTTCTCCTGGAGACCTGCCACGATGCCTTGTTTAATGGCCTCGGCTATTATGTCCCGGAACCCAGAAGCCATAGACTGTAGCAGCAAGGCAGTGGGCAAGACAGGCAGCTGACCCTCCTGGTGGAGCCCCGCCGCAGTGGGGGTGAAGGTGGCCTCCATTGGCCTTTTTGGTGGTCGTGAGATTGTACTGCCCCAAAGGCTGGACGTATCAATTGGGCGCATAGGGTTAAATGGCCCGTGGGCCACTTCTAGCTGCAGTGGTGGTAGTGGGCTGGGCCTGGCCGGGATGGCAGGAATCTTTTCAGACCGTTGGCAGGATGACCCTGGGTCCTCTCGGCTCTTGTCTTTGGATGAGGACTTAGAGGCCTTCTTTTCTGAGGCCTTGCTGGAGGAAGAGGAGTCTTTGCTCAATGCCTTGTCCGATTGTGCTAGGGAAGAAGGTTGCCCAATGGGGGACATGGGATTCTCTCCTACCGCAAGCGATCCGCCGGCTTGACTAGAGGGCCTGCTGGTCTCTGGGCCCAGGTCAGACATGCTGCCATTTGCCATGTCGCTGCTAACAGAGGCGTTGATTCAAAATGACAACCGCGACGTGCAGCTCCACCCACTGCCCAAAATGGCACTCCCACTCTTTTTCTGGAGGCGTGTAGGGCTCCAGTGACAGGAGGTGGTTTCCTGCTGCTGCCTGGCTTTGATCTGACCATCTGGGCCACCCACACCCGGTCCATAGAACTCGCTGCCTCACTGTGACTTTCCAAGGCAGGAGACTCCTGTCCGGCTTGTCTATAGCGCATCCGGCTCTCCGTAATAGCATGATGCGCGTGCACGCTCTGCCGTCTCAAGACTGGTGTGTGAAATGCTTTTCGGCTGCAAAAGACAAGCCTCGTAGGCAATCTGCTAAGCGGCTATCCGACAGTGTTCTTTTGACAGATTGCCTCCTTTGTCCTCTGCAGTGAGCAGATCGCCCCGAGAGGTGTCGAGAACACAGATCTGTGGGCTGGAGCCCCGTGGCCAGACAGAGACGGACCCCCAGATCAGTCTCAAAATACTCACGACCCTTCAAATAGATTGTTCTCCCTTCTGACGAGGATGCAAATTGTCAAACCAGTAAGGTGAAGTAAACTGCTAATGCATGCAAGGTATAACACGACTGTCCCACAGTGAACTGAATCGGAAACTAGGTGGTAACACTCACAGGGGTGGGTTATATAGTACATTGGCTAATTAATATTCAGACTCAGTCCAATCAGAGCCCCGAGAGTGTCAACCCATGCCTGGATGCTATCTCCACCCTTACTGAGAATGTCCGAAACAGTCAACTTCATTATACTGGAAAAAGAAAACAATGAACATGTCACTTGCTATGGGACTTCTTCACTATTATACTATCTTGGCTTCTTATTTTTTATTTCCATATTTGTTAATATGGTTTTGGTAAGAAAAATATGTGAATGTGATTTTGAAAGATGTAGTAGAAAGAACCAGTAGGAAGCACTAGGATTTACCAATTACAGGTTATAGCAAATGAGTATTCTTTTATGATGGAAAGATAAGGGCCTCTTGGATTTATAATATTAGATCAGTTTTAGTAATTAGTAATTACTAGTAATTAGATATTTTTACTGTTTGTTTATGACATAATTTTGTGATCAACAATATTTGAAAAATGACTGATTTTCTATTCTTTTTGTATACTTTTGTGCTGTATACTAAAACAATAAACAACAGACACATGCATATGCTCTTAAGAGAAAATAGACTAATAGGCAAACATAATTTGATTTTCAAGCATTTTCATATATTTAATAATGGAAAAGTTGCCTCTGCCAAAAATTTCTAAGTCAAAGAACGTTATCATCTTAAAACATTTTATAAAATACGTGCAATATGTTACCTCAACAATACTAATCATATGAGGAAGTAAACGGTCCATTCTAACTTCCAGCAGCATTACCAGAGCCCGACAAACATTTTTACGTACTTCAGGCTCCTCATCTCCAGCCAACGCAAACAGATTCTGTTAAAGGGGAATAAAAAAACCCCAAGAAGGGGTTTAATGGATGGATGAATGGATAGATAGATAAACTATGAACTAAAATTCATAATACCAACATCATTCTTTCAGTGATCTACATTATTTGGAAAAAATGATGGACTTAAGTTTTCTAGATCTCACTGTTGTAGAACAATAATCATTCTTTTAATTCAACAATGCATACATTTTACGGCACTATAAACATAACCAAATCTAAACTATGAATAAAGCTTTATCAGCTTAGATGCTTTTAGTAGATGAGACAGAACTGTATTAATTTATATAGGAAGCTGTCTCTTCTAATGCTCAACATCATTCAGATCAGCTAATTACAAATAAAAGTGGTTGCTATGTATTGCAGACACATTTATTTACAAGCAAACAACTATACCAATCAATCCTGCCAGCACAGAAAATAGGAAGTTTAAAAGTAGACAAAGTGATGTTACCTTTATTACCCTCACCAACCAGACACCAGCATAGCTGGAAGTCAGAGAAATGGATACTGTTTAGGCCATTTGTTTGGCTAGACATTAATAAAAAGTCAGAAAATTTGGACTCTAGAAATATCTAAAAAACATCTCAATTATTAACTGAAAGAAAATTCTCAATTTTTATAGTTACTGGCATGGATTTTTAAGTGGTTTTTTTGTAATTGTTGCCACACTTTATCAAGGAAAATAAAAGGAATATTACTGTCCACTTGCTCTCTCTTCAATCCAAATGGAACTATTTTGAAGCAATGGAAAATGGCATTCAGAAAAAGAGAAATAAATTTTAATTATCTACAAGAGGTACACTCAAATATGAATCACCCACCTCAATAAATCCATCAATGTGCAGCATAAGGGCTTGAGTTCTACTGATGATAAACTGATTGACACAAGCAACTGCATGGGACCTATAAACATAATGTAAAAAAAATTTATACATTACTGTAAAAAGCTGAAGGAATAAATTTACCACTACTTAGAATTAAACTCAACATCAATCTTTTTGCAAAGGGAAAAATAACTTGATATTTAATACTGTGAATAAAGCATGTAGCTTTATTGCATGTCTGGAAGTTTCAGAAATATCAAAAACAATCTGTATTAGTTATACAGGTAATTTTCACTTGACAATCATTTGTTCAATGGCCAAACTTACGGTAGTGCTGAATGAAGGAGTTACAACCAGTCCTTGGAATTACAACCATTGAAGCAACCTGTGGCCATGTGATTAAAATTTGGGCACTTGGCAGCCTGCCCACACTTAGAACTGCAGGTCCCCTTAAACTTCCCCACCCCTCTACCTTCTTGCTCCATCTGGGCTCTTTTAGTACCCCACACTTCATGGCCCTTGCACACTAGCTGACCTTTGCAGTCTTCTTGCTCTTATTGGTGACAAAAATGGCTGGGCTGGGCTGGCCCTTCATAAGGCAGTTTGTACCTCACAAAGGGCCAGGGCAAGCATACCTTATCAACAGAGGTGTTGGCTGGGGCTGCAAGTCTGCACTACTTTGCTGGGACAGGCTGGGGCTTCCTGAAGTAGCTGCACACACCATGCTACTGGGCCAGCCTGAAGCGATGGGGGTTCCTGGGATGGCTGCAGCTTTGTACTGTGATTCAGGAGTGAGCCAAGAAGCCTGAGTTGCAGAGTGGCAAACAGCACCACAGTCATGAAATTCTGGTGCTGTTTGCTGCCCTGTGAGGTGCAGGGCAGCTAAAAATGCATAGATGGGGGAAATAGACAGTTGAGGTGAGTGGAAGGAGAGGCAGTCCTTATCTTGAAAAAACTGAAGTTCAGGCCTTGGGAAGGACTAAGCGTGGAGTGGCTTGGATTGTGGTTTGTCGGATAATGACCAATGGAATTCAATTAACAACAGCAATGAAAATGCCTGGAATTGTGGTTGCTAAGTGATGCAATCCTCTGATCTCATACTTCTTTGCATCTTATTTCTGTATTAAACTTATATGCTTAACGATGGAAATATTAAGCCTAATTACTGTTGTAACTTAAGGACTACTTGTAGTTTTATAGCCATAGTTATTTATTAGGAGAGCACCTCTATGATATTAGTCTTACTTAGTAGAAGAAACTCTGGTTGGATACCTTCCTTTTTATCAAGTACTAGTACTGATAACCCGGCATTGTCCGGGTATTTATTTATAGGGGGAAAATTTCCAGACCAAATGTAATTTCTAATGTTGGATTTTCCCCCTTATCAGAGGGAGCCCCCTTGTGGAGTACTGTGAAACTGTTACCATGGCAACTCCACTGCGCTGTACAGTAGAATTCATTTTACAGCAGTACAGTAGAAGCCATTTTAAGGCACAAGAAAACTGAAAACAAACCCCAAGGGATGTTAGGGGGGGTCTTATCCCCATGGTATTTGTTTCCAGAGAGTAAATCATCTGTGTACCAAGTTTGGCTGAAATTGCTTGAGGTGTTTCAGAGTTATGTTGGAACATACACACAGACACATTTTTAGATAGATAGATATAGATATATAGATAGATTTATTGATCTCTAAGAGCTAGTAAAATGGTAGGTGCTGTCATCTAAAGTTCAAGTTATTACTGCCTGATAATATCCAGAATGCAAATTTAGTCACCTTTCAGGTAAACAGTTCAATATTACATGTCACAAGAATAACTTGTGAAACACGAACTGTCTTAAAGACAATGATGAAATGATTTTTCCAGTTCAGAAAAAAAATATTTACAGTTATGTCAATAGAAATATTTTTACAATATGTTGAGATCTGAAAAGTAAAAGCAAAGAATTATATTCATGCCCCAAACCTAGATTAAAATAAGTAGGATTATGCAAAGAAAATAACTCGGAAAGCTAGGAAAAATGTATAGGTTATTACTGGGTTTCTGGGTACAATTCAAAGTGCTGATTGCCATCTAAAAAACTCTGTAAGGCACAAGGCATGGATATTTCAAGGATCACCTATCTCCAATTGTCTCTGCCATTTGGTAAGAGCCAACAGGATAGGCATTCAGGTCCCATCTATATTTAAAATGTCATCTAATGGAGCATAGGAGGATGCTTTTTCTGTTGTGGAGGCTGCCCTCTAGAATACCTTTCTTCCAAGGTCTACATGGCCTTATGCTGGCCTGCCTTCAAAAGAGCCATGAACACCCTGCTTATTTCATAGGCCTTTCAGCCCACTACTTGGTTTGCTTGGCCTGGCCATACCTATTTGTGCTTTAATTGATTCCTATTATTTTTTCAACTTTTGTAAACTACCCCGAGTTGTGTATAAATGTATGATCGGAAAAACTAAAATAAATAAATTTCAACAGTTCAACAAAATTCTTTCCTGAAAACTTTTCAAAGAATTGACTAGAGAACTTTACCTTATTTTTGGACTGCTGTGTTTGAAGAATTGTAGAAACTTGGGGATCATGATATTAAGGGGACGATCTAAAGCATCACTGTCTAAGATTTCAGCTGAATCTTCACATATCTTCTGAAGAGCTCCAAATGCACCCTACAAGATAAATGTGTCTTGTTGATATTTATATAATGATATCAGACTCATTGTTATTTTCAAAAATTACCTCCTTTTTTCACTGCCGGCTGAATTCCAAATACAACTGACATCTTATTTACTTAAAAGGTATCTATGGCTACCCCACTTAGAACAGAATTCTAACAGCTTAAAACAACAATAAAACCAAGAAACAATAAAAACTATAAAACCAAAAGAAAAAGGCACAGCCATCTCACTTAAGCCCTCTTCAGACTTCCAAAAGACTAAAAGGGAAAGATTGCCAGATCCCCAGCAGAAGGATGATCCACAGAGCAGTGAAAAGACAGAAAAGACACGCTAGATCCTATTAGATGGCGATATGGTATTGAAACACAGCGCTAGGCCCTAATCTAGCTGGGCTCTTGCTAATACATGTTACTTTCTTCAATAAGAATTGTTAGAAAATTAATCAAAAAGTCAAAAATAGCTTAATAATATACTGAACACTATGACCATTTGGGGAGAAGCTGCCTATGATTTAATTCTAATCATACATTTCCATTAACAGATGGAAGAAAGAGTATACCTCTTCTTTTCAAAGAAGCATTGTTGCTGGTAAAAAAGATAGAAACAAGGTTCATGACAGAATCTAAGAAAATATTCCCATATCTGCTGTAAAAGATCACTGAGAGCCAGGTTGGTTTAGTTGATAAGGCTCCAGGCTAGAAACTGGAAAACAGCGAGTTCTAGTCCTGCCTCAGGCATGAAAGCTGCTTGGGTGATTTTGAACCAGTCACTCTTTCTAAGCCCAACACACCCTCAGAGTTCCAGGTAGAAAGAAATAAAATTAGCAAAAATAGTAATTACCATACTGTTGACCTATTCCAAATAAAATAAAATTACATATTTAATTAGAAAAAGCAAACTCTAACCTCACAAGTATTGTAGTCTTCAGAATCAAGCAGGCTACAAAGCTTTGGTAAAAGTTCAGGCCAGTTCTGCAATTCTCCTTTTGAGGCAATAGTTGTAATCAAGATACCTTGAATTTGTTTGAAGAAATTTTAAAAAGTTATTGATAAGTTGCTTTAATGTAACAATATAAACATTAATACATAAATAAGAATGACCAACAGAAAAGATTTAAAAACTTCTCTCTTTAAGTGACTCGATAAAGCATGTCTGCTTGTAAAGATGTATATACACACATACATTTTAGACATAAGTGTAGACTGATATTCAAGCTGAGTGAAAATCTAATCTGCAAAAAAAAATGTCCTGGTATTCTTCTCAGATTTCTTAAAGCCATAAAACATTACCTTAACAGTAGACAAATCGATGACATATGCAATTCTACTTATAGGGTTAGAATATACACTTAAGCAGAGGTGGGTTGCTCCCAGGTCAGCATAGATCGGGTGAACCGGTAGTAGCAGCAGCAAGATGCTCTGCCCTCCCGCCCGGAAGCACTATTAGGAATGGGAAAATCTGCTCAATGGCTGAAGCTAAGAACCAAAGGCAGTTCTTTGGCGATCAACTTTCACCCTTCAAATATATCAAGTCTCCAATTCTACTATCGTTAATATAGCTGATTTAATACAGCAGCATCTGAATGGTCAAAGGTTGTCTTTCTCATCTATTGATAAGCAGAGATACTCGAATTCTATATTCTGGAGGTAGAAACCATTATGGCAATGAAATAAGCATATAAAATAATTTCTGTTTGTGCAACAGGGATTTCCTTGTTGTTAATTCCCACAAACATATCCAAATTTTCTCCAAAATACCTCTCTTTCCCCAAAGATTTGGGAATTTGTAGAATGTTTAGGTAGATCTGCTGACATAAATACAGAGGAAAACTGTTGCTTATTTAAGACAAGAGTGGAGAACATACGGTTTTCATGTATTGCAAACTAAAACTTCCTTATTATCAATGAGACTGGAAGACACCAAATTGAAATATTATAAAGGAAAATTTTGCATGAAAACCACATCATAAATCCCAAGGTAGTAACATTAAAGCTAATCTTTGCATCTATGTTTGTAACAAGTCCTTTCCTATGTTTTCATATATTTCTTTTAAGGTTCTTCTATCTTCAAATCATATTCCCTGAAGCAGAACAGTGATCCTGTGTCAATGAAGACAGCTTTTTATACTGAAGATTTTTTAAGATTAAAAATATTCTTTCTGATAATATGCATGAGTATTTCATATTGTCATGTTATCCTATATCTAAAATAGCTAAAATAATTATCTACACTTTTATCATGAAACAAATTAAAAGCAGAAGACTTGGAATATATTTGTTGGAAATAAATATTAAATAAATGATGATTATATATAATACTATACTAGCCATCTAACATGCCTATATCTGAACCAATTGATTACTCAATTATTTTTAAACAAAACAAAAAGACTCAGTCCTTTATAACATCACACTTAAAAACTGTTTGTTACCGTTTGTATTTTACAATTTGTTTATTTAGCATAAACATAATATAAATATTCATGACTCACCTACAGTGGCTCTGATTAGTGGAGAGGAATCACCAATATTATTTAAGCATTCACTTTTAATGAAGTCAGTTACTCCATTAGGAAAGTTGTGAAAGTGAGCTTTGACATTATTCTTCAAAATAAGACCACTTAGTGATCTTGTTGGTTCATCTGTAGTAAGTTTAAAGAAAAGTCATTTGGGTTATATATTCCATATACCTACTTAAGAGCCAGCACAATTCAAAACATGAAATGCTTGATTTCACAAAGTGCAAGTACCAACACAAACACACACTTACACTATTTAATATTACAATATAACATTAAATTGTATGACTCTGTAGGTATATTACAGTTTGCCAGTATTTCCCAAGATTATGTCTTGGAGATTCTCGGTCATCCAGGTCATGGTTGTCCCAAAGATGCTTTTTCAAGAGGCAACTGGACTTTCTGGTTTTTCTTTGAAGATGTTTTGATTCTCATCTAAGAAACTTGGAAGAAAGCGAAACATCTTCAAAGACAAACCAGAAAGTCCAGTTGCTTCTTGAAAAAGCACCTTTAGGATTCCCAAGATTATGTTAAAGGAACCTGATAGGAACTATGACCGCTGAGATCATTATACCAAAAAAAAGCAAGTTAAAAAATTTATTTTATAAAAACAAGAACACTTTGTCTTGCAATGTGCTTTCTGCTTTATCAAGGTATTCTGTGACAGCATTCATACTACCAAGCACATATAACCAGTTTTCTGTGGCAGTTTTCAGAAAAGAATGGATATCCTTTTACTACAGTATCTCCTCAAACACAATGCTCTATTTAGACTTTGAGATATAGATAACATTTCAAGCTTGAAATGGATTGCTCCACTCTTGTCAGGATTGTTCAAAATTATATTCCAACCTACAGTTGAAGCGCCAAATGTTTCCAGAATGGTTGCAATATAATCAGTATTTACAGTAAAATCAAAAGAGCTATTTTAAGTTCCAATTCAAAATCAAGACATTATGCATACACTTAAAAAAATACAATTAAAATTTAATTTTCAATCATATACAAAACAAAAACAATACAATTAAATTTCAATTTACCAGATCTTGATGCACTATCTTCAAGTGGAATGGACTATTTTTTCACTGATTTAATTCATTTTTATTTATTACTGTATCATTATGCAAATTATTTCAGATTCATTACACAAAATGACAAAAATGACTTTTATAATTGTATTATCAAGTGATATGAATTGTAGCACATAGATGCAGTTATTTAATATACATAATCCAATTTAATGTATATGAAAATTTTATATATATATATATATATATATATATATATATATATATA